CACAATCGCGCACTTTTGGGAATGGGTCCGTTTCTATGGCGAGGATCGGACATGTAAAAGCAGTATTTGCAATTTTCTAATGTTAAAGTGAAGTGCGATATGTGCTTTATACATGCATGAATCCCAGACTCAAAAATACAGTCCATAATTGTGGAAAGGTGAATTGAATCTTTTGATTGTGAGTGTCAAGCTCTCTTCCTCATTACAAACAAGAATGTCCAGTCTGATCCTTTATAGCGAAAATTTCCAGGATATCTCTTTACAGAAGCTTCTCTGAATTTTCAACCGGTACTTCGCCTCAAAATTCGGGAATCTCGAGGATTAAAGCAGGATATTAAGTTCTGTAAAACTTTAACCTCCTTCACAGTCTATAAAAATTCGAAGGATTTGTCTTCTATATTTGGAACATGCCCATAGTGTTTGCTAGATTACTCTGACGTTATAGCGAAGACCAGTGCTGCAAAAAAAAGTTTCCCACAATATGTCTGGAGCGCACATTTTCAAGTCCCCCTCCCCCCCCCCCCCCCCGCTCCACCCATCCATTGTGTTGACTATATGAGGGAAGATTTTCGTGTCAAACATCAAATAAGCAGACTATGAAGGAAAATTATGCGGTAGTAATGTGCAAATTTTTCTTTTGCTATTCTATAATGTACGGAAGCGAAGTTGCGGGAAAAACGATTTAATCTTTTTACTTTTATTTCTTTTACAATTTGGAGCATCTACTAAGTGCTTGATTGGAAATTGCTGTCTTGCACGCCTCTTCTTTGGTTGTATTCGGCATTCCTTCTCAGGCTTCTCGTGCATTAGCGCTCGAGTCCCTAGCCAATCTCTTCCATGTTTGGATTTCGTGTGCCTAGTACCTCAGCAATAAGCGTCTCGAATTGTTTTACATTACGCGATCTCGAAATCCAATCCATGCCTGCGTTTTTGCGTTAGATTGTTTGGAATATGCGAATACGTAAAGGCATCCTCTCAAATGTTGAAATTACACTTTCTGCAATAGGCGCAAATCATTTGTCTTTCGACTTTTTGATTGTTTCAATCTCCAGGACTCATCCAATGATATCCAAGTTTTCGTCCAAACATACCCTCACTTGAACTTCTTCATATGTATTCTTATGCAACACCTTGTTCCGCTCTCACTTTCCGAAACAATATAAGTTTTTCTTTATAAACCTGCTAGGAGCTCTCTTCTTCAATCATGACAGTCAATCTAACTCGAATACGGCATTTATTTCGGCTTCAATTTTCTTAGAATTTTTTCGAGGAATGCCACAGAATTGGGAGTCATGTATCATCTCTTGCTTTCTGCTAAACCTGAATTGTCTATAAAGGCACAGCAGCTACGTTCCTTACCATTTCTAAACCTTCACTCTTATGCTCTACAATTTCATGCAGATCGGAACTAAACCGTTTTTCTAGTCAAATCAGACTATTTTTGTTTTCCTAGCAGAATTGGAGTATCATCAATAGGGTGCAGCAATCACTATGTACATATTGACCACTCAAGAAGCACCTAAGTCACAATGCTTGTAAAGTTTGGAGCCAAATACTGATAATTTTCAACTGTCCAAAATCGGATCTCCTTTCAGAAAGTTTTTTACGCACGTCCAACTTGCAACACTGTACATATAGTAGTTTTCAAATGTACATTTGCTGAATTGCTCTGCCTAAAATTAAGAAGCAAAATTAGTCTTCAAATGCCAAAATGTCACTTTTTGGGTTGTTTATGTTGAACTTGGTATTTCTCGATTATCACATACCATATAATTGAGACTGTACTTTGAAAGCTGCGGTAGATAATCGGGAGGAGCTGAGGGCGGAGTTTTCATTTTTGGATTTTTTTCTCGATTTATTTGCAAAAAAGGATTCAGCAGATGCATTTACGGATACTGCTATGTATCTTGCGTATAGCGACCAATTTGGGGATTCGTAGGATTCCGCAAGATTACGTTTTTCGGGAACGAAATTTTTTCGATAACAATTTGATGCATCTAGAAAAATGTTAACTTTTGGGACGAATTATTAGGTTGGTGCAAAAGTAATGCGCGTTTTGCGAGTTCTCACTTAGACGTGCTATAACTTTCTAAAACATCCATGTTTTCCAGTGCAGCAAAGTTCATCATAGACATCAAACCTCTCTTTATACAGCGCACACTAACTTATGTTAACATTGCAAATCGGTGAAAAAATATGGACTGATAAGCAAAAAAAATTTTTTCGGAAACCTCGCTTTTAAATGATCATAACTTCCTTTAAGACTTGTCGGTATGAATGATAAGTTGACTATCTTGTAGCCGCAAGCCAATAGTACAAAAAAGTACAGAAGGGCTCACATAAAGAATATTTGCGAAAAGGAAAAAAATAATATTCAAAATTGTCCGCTTTTTTCGACATTTTTTCGTAGCCCTCAAAATCCCAAAATATGGAGATTTTTGATTTTCTGTGTACTGAACAGCTTCCACATTTCTGCAAAAACTGTCACCAGGAGGCCCACCCTTACGCTAACAGAAATGAACAAAACTTTGGCGATTGCCCCCTTCAAAGGAAATCTATGGGCCACAGAATGGCCAAACCATCACTCATGTTGAGGCGTCGAGATTTCAGTCTTAGTAATTTCTAGGAAAACAGTAAAGCATGCTTATTGTAGAAAAATTCTACCACATACAGTAGCTAAATTTTCAAAAAAATGCCTTTACTTGCGCTTGAATTCTGGCCGAAAAAGTAAGTGCAATGAAATTCTGGTTTTGAGTGCGGTTGTATGAAGCTCTATAAATTTTTAGCGAATGAGCCTAGAAGTTTCTTTTAACAACCGTTGAATAGAGCATGAAAGAAGCTTCTTGCTAATATGCTGGGTAAGTTTCATAGGAAAAAATTTAATGGAGAAAAGTCTTCTCGAAACAAGGGCTAGAAAAACGCGCATTACTTTTGCACCAACCTAATAGTTATGTATTAGGTTGGTGTAAAAGTAATGCGCGTTTTCCTAGCTCCTGTTTTAAGACAACTTTTTCACTCAAAACTTTATTTTTGGAAAAAAATTTAGCATACTGTCAAGAAGCTGTTTTCGTGCTCTATCCAACGGCGATTAGTACGGCTTCTAGCCTCATTCGTTGAAGAATTATAGAGCTTCACACAACCGCACTCGAAACCAGAACTCCATTGCGTCTACTTTTCTGGTCAGTACTCAAGCGCAAATGAAGGCATTCTGGTAAAAACTAAGTTTCTGTATGTAATGAAAATTGTCTATATGCACACTTAACCATTTTTTCTGAGATCATCTAAGCGGAGATATCGACACCTTAACATGAGCAGTCGTTGCATTCATTCTGTGGTCCATGGATTTGTACTGAACATAGCAATTGCCAAACTTCGCTCATTTCAGTAAGCGTGAGGGTAGGGCCTCCTTATGATAGTTCTTTGCAAAAACGTTTAGCCGTTCAATACGCAGAAAATCAAAAATAATTCCTTCCTTTGAGACATTGGGGACCATGAAAAATTGTTGAGAAAAAGTGACAGTTTTGCTTTTCTGAATGTTTTCTTTTCGCAAACCTAGCAAACATATTTCTTTCAAGCCCTTTTCATCGTCCTTTGTACTATTGACTTGCGGCTACAAGATAGGATACTTATCATTTACATTAACAAATTTTGAAGGGGGTTATGATCAGCCAAAAATGAGGTTTCCAGAAAAAAAACTTTTTTTGCTCTTCAATCCATAATTTTCTGCCCGTTGATGGTGTGAATATAAAGGAATGTGCGCTGCGTTGCGAAAGCTTTGCTGCCTCTGACGGTCTTTGTCACATTGGAAAAGATTGCTAGAAAGTTATAGCACGATAAATTGAGAACTCGCACCGCGCATTACTTTTGCACCAATCTAGTACATGGCAGATACGAGTGTAAATTGAGAATTTCATCAAGTATACTTATACAGCAGTATTCGCCTTACTCATCTTGCTAACGTTGCGATCAGCTGTTTTTACATCGCACTCTCATCACTTTCAACTTGTTTTGCCTCTTGAACCTAAGCTTTTCTGTCGAAGAATCCTATTAAAGAGATATTCCGTGTAGCAAACACACAGAATAAGTCTCCTCTGTCATTCAACGATGGCTCTTCCATTATCCGGCGTCAAAGTTTTGAATCATTCTTACGCTAGTACATTGTACAGAAATAAGCTTGCAATATTTCATCTTAGTACATTGCGTTTCTCTTCGGAGACTATTCTCTTACGAGACAGCTACGTTACTTTACTGCAGTACAATCCGAGGTTTCCTCTTTTCAAATTTGTCACAGCAGTCCTATAGCTGATGATGACGTAATGTAAACCATGATGAATTTCAATAGGACAGAACGCTTCTGTTTACATTCCAGAGCCTTGGACTTAAAACATCCTATGAGTGACATCGATTCAGCTATCGTTTTGAGTCTGGATTCCTAATGACTTGTTTTGGTTTCTTCTCCATTGCTCTCCGTTATTTTATTTGCAATTTCTATGTGGAGTCAAAATAATTACTGCTCATAGAAGTCCTTACTTCGAGCATAGTTTTATGAATTCACAAGCATCGGTTCTTCGCCGTTTAAATGGTTCATGGAAGAGATCGTGCTCTGTACTTTGCTTGCTTTGATCATTTCATTTGCTTGCTTCGATCATTTCATTCCTAGATATATGCTATCGTAAAAAAGTAACAGAAAATCTGAATACATATACAGATTTTGGATGTATTCGTATGTATTCTGAATATCAATTTGAATAAAAAAATCTCGACTTACACATGTCTTCAAAGTTTTGCTCTCACTGCATTTTATCTGCGCTCAATATAAATTCAAATTCAATGCTTTGTTTCTTGATGCATCTCCTGATTTTCGCAGTTTTGATACCGTTTAAAAATTGAAATTTCCTAAAAATTTGAGTGAAACTCATTTTGCTTCCTCCATATATCCTCGAATCCCATCATTGCGTTATTCCCGAACCTATGAAGTATAGGAAATTGGTTTTTTTTCCAGAATTTCCGGAACGCTATGCAGTGAAGGCTTGAATGCTAAGCACGTACTGGTAATTTGTCTCCATGTTCCTGACCGTTCTCACAGTGACGTCTGATAGCACCACATCCAATGATCGCAGCTCAGAAAATAATGGAAGTGAGCTTTCCGAAGGTGACATTCCGTAATTTTACGCTAGAAATTTATTTATGCAAAATTGCAGAAGATGCTCATCCTTATAAGGCTACGCCACTTTCTGGAACACAAACAATCGGCATTATCTCATTCCTAGCGTTGTTTTCTTCAGTCTATTTGATATACGCACAACATCATAAGGTGCTATTCTACGTTATGACGAGGTTAGTTCAACTTCTGGATCAATTTGTCTTTCTGAACTTGATTGATCTTCTTTCAGTCGAGTTCAGAAAAACAGAATTGTCAGTTCGTTTTAGCGTCAAAGTTTCATCAACGCATTTTTTTTGTTATCGTTCCAATTATTGAATCAGAATTTCAGTCTAATAGTACTATGGATTGTATTTATCTACTCTGCGGGTATACTGAGTGTATTATACATGATAATTGTTGGATATGACGAAAAACCTCAAGATCCGTGCGAGATGGATGCCGAAACGCAGCAGGAATCTTCAATATAGAGGAGTCACCTCTATTCGATAGACGCATTAGACTATGAAATAATGCTTGTACATTTTGTCTTTCATTTGACGTCAAGAGACGATTTGTTTCACCTGTTTTGATTTTTTAATAAATGCATAAATCTTTCGTGACGTCAGCGCTATCCACCGAGATCTAAAAAGGTCCGCAACGGGATCGGAAACGAACCACTTGCGACAGACGTTTAGCCTGTTTGGCGAGTTTCTTCTTATGTTTCACGATTGACTCCTCTTCAATACGCGATAAGGGGCTGCGGGAGGGGGGGGGGGGGGGAGGGGGAGGGGAGTGAAGACAGAAATAGGTTAGTCATATATTCAGTATTGAAACTTACATGGGATCATAAAATAAAATAAAACATCTTGCCAAGTCAGATCTTACAAGGAATCGATACTCAATGTCCGTGGCTTTTTGAGACGAGATGTACACCATTACACTCGTTTTCGAACGCTGATTCCGAATCTGACTTCCATTTCTGCTAATCGTTTCTCTGAAAGAAGTTATGAAGGAATTTCGACCCAAGTTTGGCCGCTTAAGGGAGATATGGTCACTGGAACGGCCTCTACCGCGACCACGTTCTGGTCTAATGCTTAGTGCGATAGCCTCATGAGTTGATGTAGGTTCAAATCTTTTGCGTTTTTACTTTTGCACTACTTTTGCCTCAATTAAGCTTGTTCGAGAAAGCTCTACTCGAATTATGACCATTGAATACATTTTAGCGCAAACAGTACTCATTTTTTCCAAAATTCCACATTTTTTCAAGAGTAAGAGCGTTCACTTAACTTGAGGATGTGAAAGAAGGTTAATTGAGGCAACGCAAAACTGAAAAACCGAAAGGACTCGAACCTAGACACGCATCAACTCATGAGACTATCGCACTAACCACTAGACCACAGCGCACGCAACTATTGCATTGGTGCTCCGACAGATTTCCACTGAGAACCCTCCGCGCGATCCATGATAACATCTTTGAAGCGATTAGCAGAAACGGAAGTAGGATTTGGAATCACCGTTCCAAGACGAGTGTAATGGTATACATCCCATTTCAAAAGGCCACGGACACCGAGTATCGTTCCCTTGTTAGTCTCTTAAATCAGCCCAACTGTCCTCGTATAAAGGCGTACTATATGACACATAAAATCTCTGGAAAGTATAATAATTACATAGGTAAATTGGATTTCGGTGACTGAGGTCTCGTTTGTTGCCACGCGGAACTTACACGTAGTACCCAAGTTTGAGGCTGCTCAACCGTGCAGCCTCAAACTTGGGTACTACGTGTAACAAATTTGAAGGCAGTGTCCGGGCAAAAACTCGATCTTGAGATTTTTTGCTTACCCGGGCCTATTCGCTACGGTGAATCCGAAAATGCACATTGGAGAGCGCGAAAACGGCGAAAAACAGCTCTAACACGGGAGGGAAATCAGCAGGTGGGCGGGGTCCTCCCCACTGTGAATTCACGCTCCCAGTTCCAGAGCGATCTTCCCGGTTCCGATTTCAAGTCATGCATTCGCACCTGGCCGGTGGAGATCTCAAGGCGCTAGAGGAATTGGGAAGATCGTTCTTTAAGCTGGGACTGCGAAATTCACAGTGGGGAGGACCCCGCCCAATTTCGATTTCCCTCCTGCGTTAGAGCCCTTTTTTGCCGTTTTTGCGCTTTCCAATGTGGATTTTGGGATTTAGCTTAGTGAATGGGCCCGGGTAAGCACAAAATCTCAAAAACGACTTTTTGCCCGGACACTGCCTTTAAGAGACTAAGATCTGACTTGGCAAGATGTTTTATTTTATTTTATGATCCCATGTAAACTCTATTACTAAAGACTAATTAACAAACGTTAACGGTAAACAATAAATATAAAAGCTAATTCTAGAAGGCAAACGTGTAAACAAAATGACAGGAAGAATGCGAAATTATGTAATCTGTCGGGATGCAGCTAATCCCCAACAGCTGCCTAGGAAGGAGGTTGGCCCTGGATAGCCAACCTCTGGCAGTGACCTCCGCCCGCCGGCAGGAGCCGGTTGGATCTAGACGAAGTGCTGTTTTTGCTACTGTATTATCTTCACTTCGTAAAACGTGACCATACCATCGTAATCTGGCACCTCGCATCTTATCCGCGATAGGTGCAACTCCGAAAATGTGTCGTACATCATCGTTCAAAACGCAGTTTCTTCTCGTTAGGCCAAGTATCCATCTTATCATTCGCGTCTCCATCGTGCTCAGGATCTGCTCGTGTTTTCTTGTTGCTGGCCAACATTCGGCTCCATACAGTGCGACTCGCCTCACCACAGTCCGATACACTTTCGACTTGAGATACAACGGGATTCGTCGGTCGCAGAGTACTCCTGTTATTTGCCGCCATTTTAGCCACGCCGCGTTCGTCCTAGCACGAGCATCAGTGATCGTGTCGCAATCCGTCGTCACTCGGGAGCCCAGGTATTTGAACGTCGTGACCTTCTTCAGCGGCTGCCCATCGATGCTAATTGTGCCATCGGTTTGCTCTCCGCATTCCAGGTACTCGGTCTTTGCTACGTTCAGTCGTAGGCCATATTCCGCTAATCGTGTCTTCCATCTCACAGTCGCCTCTTCAAGCTCTTGTCTCGATCCGCTTGCTAGCTCGACGTCGTCTGCGTAAAGGAGCGTCCACGGGTGCGGCAGCTGGATGTCCTTGGTCACCGTGTCCATGCACAGTATAAAGAGAAGCGGTGATAGAGCCGATCCTTGGTGTACTCCGACTTGGATTGGGAATGGCATTGACGTTCTCACTGCACAGCGTATGGCGCCCGTCGCTTTCGCATAGAGGAGTTTGATCCAGCGAACGTACTCTTCTGGGACGTCGTGTTGTCTCAGCGCATACCAGATCAGCCCGTGTGGTATCCGATCAAATGCCTTTTCTAAATCCAGGAATGCGAAATGAATCGGAATCCGTTTCTCCAAGTGCCTTTCCATTAGCAATCGTACCGCGTGGATGGCGTTGATGGTACCAGATCCTTTTACAAAGCCGCATTGATTCGGGGTGACCTCCACTATACTTCGAATGCGTGCGTCGATGACTCGTTCGAAGATCTTCATCGTGTGGCATAGCAAGCGTATTGGTCGATATGTTGAGCAGTCGCTGACGTCGCCCTTTTCCTTCCAGATAGGGACTGTAACACTCGTAGTCCAGATTCGCGGCAGCTGTCCGTCTGCGATAATGCGGTTAAAGAGCGATGTGAGATATGCCGCTCCACGCTGCCCCATCATCTTCCACACTTCAGCAGGTATGTCATCGGGTCCCGGAGCTTTTCCGCTAGACATCTTCCTCAGTGCCTGCGCAACTTCTGCCTCCTCGATCCGAGATACCGCTCCAAGTGTGGGGGCTCCTTGCGGTACTAACGGGTGCGGGAACTCCTCATTAAATAGCCCTTTGTAGTACTCACTCCACCGCTTGAGTATTGCCCTCGGCTTCGTCAGGAGGTTGCCCTCTGCGTCCTTAATGTGCATGACGTGGTCGATGTCCTGCTTCGCTCGATGTCGTGCAGCGGCCAGTCGGTAGACCTTGTTCGCTCCAGCAGGTCCTTCCAGCTCGTCGTAAAGTCTCTTGTAGTGTGCTTCCTTTGCTTCGGCTACCGCGTGCTTCGCCTTCGAGTTCTGTTCTCGATACCGACGGAGGTCTTCATTTGAGTGTGAGCGTTGCCAGGCTTTGAAAGCTTCTTTCTTCTCCTTGATCACTTGCTGGACTGACTCAGACCACCACCAGATCTGCTTGTCTACAAACCGGCGTCCTGGCTTGGTGGTTCCCAAAATTGTCTCGGCCTTCGATCGTATCTGCGAAGTAATCCGATTCCATTGCTCTTCAATCGACTCCTTATCATCCATCGACACCCTCAAACCGTTAAGAGCATCTCTGACTTGCTGGCGATGTTCGGTGAGCTTCCACCATTTGATCCTCTTTGTAGTCGTCCTTCTGGCTCGTGAACGTAAGTGGATGTTCAGTCGAAGATCCAATACGAGCAACCGGTGTTGTGGCGCAAATGCATGTGTCGCCGTGGGTATAACCTTCGCATTCATCACCATGGGCAAGTGGCATCGGCGCAGCATCCAGTAGTCGATCTGAGTTGAGCGGTCTCCACTCGCGTACGTGATCAAATGTGACTCCCGCTTTTTGAAAAATGTATTCGCTATCGCCAGGTCGTGTGCTTCTGCTGCTTCCAGGATGCGTTCTCCATCTTCATTCCTCTGACCATATCCGTTTCCACCATGGTATCGCTTGAATCCATAGTGTTCGTGGCCAACGTGCCCATTGAGATCGCCTCCTACGAAGATGTAGTCTGCAGCGTCAAATGTTCTTAGCAGGATGTCGAAGTCCCTTCAAAATTTATCATTCCCAGCTTCGGCACATGCGCGTTGCGGGGCGTAGCACGACACTACCTGGAGTATGACGTCATCCATCTCAATAATCATCGCCATCAGTCTGTCTGAAATACTCGTCACCTCGGTCACTAACTCTCGGTATTTCCCGTTAACGATGATCACGACTCCGTTCTGGCGGCTGCTATCTCCATTGTAGTAGAGTCGGTATCCCTCGCCGATGTCTTTTGTCTGCCTTCCCTTCCATTTTGTCTTGTACACATGCGATGTCGATGCGTCGTTCCCTCAATCTATCGCATAGCTCTCGACAGCGGCTCGTTAATGTGCTTATGTTGATCGTCGCTAGTAGGATTTCCTGGACTCGCTTCTTTGGCCTGCCTCGTCCGGGGGCAGGTAGCCCTAGCTCACTATTCGCGCCATGCAGGCAATGACGCGCGTCGCCTTCGGGGGATGCCCTAGCAGCTTGATGAAAATCCTTAATAGTCCGATGCATGTGACACGACTAATTCGTACAGTCCCCGGCGCGTCGCTCCGCCTGACGGGACAGTGCCCTCGTCGTTTGCCGGGGTTGATCCCCGTTGCCAGCCGGCACCGCGGGGAGGTGACCATGGGACTTTGCCGGCCATGGGACTTTGCCGGCCCAAAAAATTGCAAATACTGCGAGTGTGAATAAAGCAAGTAACAGGAATTAAAATGCTGTGAATGTGAATAAAACAAGTAAAAGAATTTGATGTTGTTTTAGTCGATATCCCAGGTGACAATATCAA